TCTAATTCTAAAATATAGAACTTGATCAAATAAAATAATAAACATAAGAAACCGAGTCAAATCGAACTAAATTGAACCTAATAATTTTCACTTTGTTAAACCAAACCGAACCGAAACAGAACTGAAATCAAACCAAAACACAAATGATTTTAGCTTGGTACAATTACTCTCAAACAGAATAAACCGAAATCGAACCGAAAGTGAAGAAAATTGAACTGTAAACTGAATTGTCCACCTCGGTGGAGACACCAACGGATTCGATTTTTTTAGGGAAGACCGGTTAACTAACTTAGGTTACACTTATGATTACGGGTATGTTTGGCACACCTAGCTGAAAAGATACTTTTATGAGCTTTTTAGTAACTGTTAGCTTTTAGTGACTGAAAAGATCTTTAAAAAAAAGGTAGTAGTTGTTTGGTAAAAAACCGACTATTTGATTTAGTTTTGTTTGGTATACAAGTTGTTAGGACTAATTAATGCTAGAAGCTACGGACGTATATGAGATGCTACTCACGGTAGCATCTCAAAAAAGATCTTTTATTTTTATAAAAGCTCTTAAAAATTGGCATGTCAGACATACAATCAAAAGCTTTTAAAGACTTTTTAAATAGTACAAAAGCTAGAAGGCACGAACTTATGTCCGCCAAACATAGCCGTTGAATGAATGAAGTTACGAGGCCAGGCGGTGATCCTTTGGAAACCGCAGCACCAATGATTCGGAAGTCCAAGTTCAACAGAACGATTTGCCGCAAAGCAAAATTCGTCACCTACGAAAATTATTTGCCAACAGAAAACCTTAACATGCAACTCAAACTTTACAGGAAATCTCAGCAGAATAAAAGACGTCATAACATGAGAACTAGATCACAGTCCAGAGATTTCCCTTGAGTCTAGTTTTATTTTATTTTTAGCTTTCTCTTTTCTTTCTATATTTTCTTTCTTTTACTTATCTTCGTGTACCGTTCTTTTTATTTTTATGAAAAGACAAAAAAGGTGCGAGAGAAGCTAAGTGGAAAAATATGCAGCTTTCAATTCCCTTTAAAATCAAAGTCAATCCATGACATTTGCAGCTCTCCACCTAAACGATGGCCGGCCTATCTTCACCAATTACCAATTCTAATCTTTTCACCAACCACACTTTTATTAGATATTTACATATTTGCCCTCTTAGCTTCAAATTTACTTTTCAATCACCACTTTTACAGTTTCATGCTCTCTATAAAGCTATTTGGATTGAAGCAGAATCAGAATTAGTTTTCAGAAGCTGGTATTTCTAAGTTTTTAAAAAACTGATTCTAAGAGTAAATTAGAGCACCAGAATCACTTCTACACTTTCATCCAAACACTCCAACTTCTGTTTCTGCTCCCTGAAGAAGCAGAAACAATTTTAATAATCAGATCCAAACACCCCTAATACGAAGTGATTGATACGTGTTGTAGAGTTTCACGACAACAATACATAAAATAGTTTAGTTTAGTTGTCCCTCAATGAACGTCAAAGCTATTAATTCCTTGATTTGACAAAACGAATACTCCTTCCGGTTACAAATGAAATTCACACTTTGACTTCACACAAATTAATGAAATAAATTTAACTTTACTGTAGAGTACACTGTTGTGACACTGTTTTACTGTATAGTACATTGTTGTGACTCTGTTTGACCCTGTTTGGCACTGTTTGACACTTTTTTGCACTGTTTTGCACTGTTTTGATGTAGATAATTTGCCAAATAAGAAAGGAAGAAGAAGTGTGAAGTTTATTTTGGATCTACCCAAAAAGGAAAGTGTGAATTTCATTTGGGACCAGAGGGAGTAAAAGAAAAGCTCATGATGGACTAAGCTCAGCTTTGGGATGCAAAAAGCCTATCTCTTCACCATGTTTTTCCACGAATTTGGATCCTCTCCATTAACTTGGAGAGTTCCATTATGAGAGATAGAGAGGAGAAAATTAAGAGTGAGATATATTGGTGAATAGCATAGAGAAAAAGGTAGAGATAGATATGAAGTAAAAGGAAATGGAGAGAAAATTGAGAGAAAGAAATGGAGAGGGGTTGCACCCGTTTTGCACTTATCAATTTAGGGGTGGAAAAATCGAACTGACCTCGACCTGTCCCATATGAGATTTCTGATCTGCGTTTTTTCTAACCGGCCTAAATATATAAAACCCCGACCGAATGGTGTTGTTGCTGTTATTGTATACGAATCTAAATTATAAATAATTTCAAATATATGATTATAAATTATAATCATGGTGGATGAAATAAATGGCTTAGTAACTTTAAGTAAATGCAAATACGTTCAATTTTGTATACCGCAATGATCATGAAAATATATTGGGGAAAATAATTTAAATACCCCAAACCTTAATGTAGTGTGAGATAAGTAAACTTGCATATGTAATATAAACCGTAATGCGATGCACGGAAGAATAAAATTTGCAAATTGCGGAAGAGTTTATTATCATAAACAATTATTTCACATTACAGCGCATATATTATCATATAATTTGTGGATGAAACTTTTTTGTTTACAAAAAATATTCTTTCTATGTGTGATTGATATCTACAATTTACACTTCTTCTATACAACCGTTACAACTGCATGATTGATAATCACTATTATTCAAACTTGAGATTTTTAGTAATTTGATTGTGGTGTATAACTACTCATATAATAAATTGGATGTTGATTAACAATCCAGTGTAAATCCCTTATTTAGGTCTTAAAAACAACTTAAAAATAATATCAAATTTTTTTAAGTGAAATACTTTTACGTAAATAATCAATATGGGATTTCAAGAGTTTTTTCCTAAAATAATGTTAAATAAAAATTATTTGTGAAATTAGGATCAAGTTAAAAGTAGTTCTCAACATACTGCTGGAATGAACTCTGATTAACAAAGCCGCCAAATCATTTGCTTATTTTCTCCTAATCGGCGAAACAGGGAATGAAGGTTATGAAGCTAGCAACTAAACGCTAGCAAATCAACAATTTTTTTTACCCAAATCAAAAAACTCTCTTGTTTAAAAATTTCTCTAATGATATAATTTATAAATGAAAAAATCATTTGCGCAATATATATATATATATATATATCATCTTTCATATGACACCAATATTTCATATAAAAATATAAAAATAAATCTAAAGATACAGTTGGTGGAGGGTTTTAAGTTTAAATTTTTTCTCAAGTGTATTTAAGTTCTAAAATTAAAAGCCTGTTTAGTAACAATGAAATTGGCTAAACTATGTAACTTTTAAAAGTACTTTCCTTACGTATTTCCCTTAACCACAATATACTCATTTGAGATTTTTACTTAAATTCAGTACAAATAACGACTCTTTGTTTATGAACTCTCCGCTTACTATTTTTTTTATTTAATCAGTCTCGTTCTTTTTTAATCTTGTTTTAGAAACTTTTCTACTCTCTTATTCTCCTTGATAGAGTATATTGGCCTGGAACCATGGCCCACATACTCTTGCACTTACGAATGGCCCAACCCGACACCAGGGACATGAGGCCCATCTAAATAGCCCAGACCAGAATGAAGAGGCGGACTTTCCTGTCCGTACTGGCCCCTCGGCATTCTCACCTAGGAGTGACACACCTCGGCATGTCTCATTTAGACATGTCCACTAGCAGGACCGATGTGCGTCCATGCACTTCGGAACCATCGCTAGCAGACGTTCTCATAGAACCCTATAACTTGAAGACCATATAATGTCCAATTGAAATATCAAAACTCAAAAGCATGTCTCCAATTAAAGTTTAACATATAACTTTCGCTTCATACCTATTTTAGAAAATATAATGTTTTGAATTTTTAATTAGGTATCATATGGCCTTCAATTTTTTTTTAAATTATATATGCATTATCAGTGTCATTTGAAAGATAATAAAAAATTACAAATTGTGATATACTTTTTGTAAAAATAGGAACAAAAACAAAAAAGTTATAATCAATTTAGGAATAAAGAGTTTTTTTTATTTAAATGGGTCCCACCAACTCCTTTTCAATTGGCCGTTGGCTGCCTTGTTTAACTCTACTTCCAACCATCAATATTTTGGTAAAATGTTTTACCCAACCTTAATTTGGTAAATATGTCTTTCGTCCCGCAAAATAGTTTCCGGTTTTCTTTTTGGGTCGTCTCAAAAAATAGTTCTCATTTTTCTTTTACGAAAGTTTTGTGTGGCTCACATTTATTTACTTTTTTCTTACTCAAACACAATCATACATTTCTATTTTATTCTCACTTTTTTAAACTCCGATCTAAGTAAACGCAAGAACGGAAGAGGGAGTAGTTTTTTGTCTAGCATTATTTTAGAAAAAAATTTGAGCAATGTGAAATGAAATGGAAGTAATGATTTGGAAATGTAATAATCGTGGTTTGAAATGAAAAGAGTAGGAAAAGTATGTATGCATTCTCTAAATTCCCAGAACATACCCTGAAAGCAGCCATAATGCCCATAAAGTCCCTCACCAACCAGAGCTGGAGCACCACATTTATTTATAGGTTCAACATTTCATAGCCTTTGAGGACACACGCAACCAATTCAACCCCCCACGAATCCAATCCTTTCCGTTTCGTCAACTTTCTCTCTACCTCAACAACTACTACATTGACAAATGACCACCGCGGAAGCGCAACCGGAGCAAGCCCCCGCCGCTGCCGGAGATTTCATTTTCCGTTCAAAGCTCCCCGACATCCCCATCCCGAATCACCTCCCCCTCCACTCCTATTGCTTCCAGAACTCCTGCCTCTACCCGGACCGCCCCTGCCTCGTCAACGGCGCCGATGGCCGGACATACACTTACGGCGAAGTGGAGCTCACCTGCCGGAGAGTCGCGGCGGGGCTCCACAAACAGGGGATCCAGCGGGGAGACACCATCATGATCCTGCTCCCCAACACGCCGGAGTTTGTGTTCGCGTTCCTGGGCGCGTCTTGCCGCGGTGCCGTCGCGACGATGGCCAACCCGCTGTTCACGCCGGCGGAGGTGGTGAAGCAGATTAAGGCATCCAATGCCAGGCTCATCGTAACACAAGCCTGTAGCGTCGTTAAGGTAATTAATTAAGCAAATTCTTCGTATGTCATGTCATTCACTATACATGACCGACCATACGGATACCTCGTCAAACACTACTAAAGTTGATCAATTCCAACATAAATATTTTTACTACTCCGTAGTAAACAAAAAATACTTCCTCCTGTCAAGTTTGACTTCAAAACAAAAAATGAGAGAGAGGGATAAGATTAAATATAAAATAATCATTTTTCCCTTCATTTTAATGATTTCAACGACACACTTTTAATGCAAATTAAATGCATCATTGTTTTATCCAATAGGGAAAAACTGGCCAACTTTCCTTTGTTGTCATCCAGAAAAATTTTATTATTTCAATTTAAATTAACAAATATGTGTCAAAAATATAAATCACACAGTTTTTACTTTATTAATATACATTTAAGTCAACATTGACAAAATTTTATGGGACGAAGAGAGTATGATGGAGTTCAACTTTTAGAAGATATATGAATGGAAGAAATACTAGTTGACATGAAATTTGTAGTCATTAGATATAATGTACAAAACTACAATGAGAGATTCAAGGTCAAGATATTGAACTCGAAGTCAACAATGTTGATGCTTTTATACATTTAAGGCATGTTTGGTAACATCTAAATCGGCTGTATCCGGTGATTCTGCTGAAATTTATGAAGTTCTGCCTTAAGTGATTGTATGGGTTGATTCTGCTAATTTGTGAAAAAAATATTTAAAATATATTGTATTAATAATATAAAGAAAAAATTATATGAAAAATAGCTAAAATGGTTTTCTGCTTAAGTAATATAGCCAGAAAAGTAACTCTAGTCGTACTTTTTCTTATTATTACACAATTTAGCGCGTGTAACAAAAAATTACGTGTTTGGTGAAAAAGTTGGTTGATAAGTTTGAAAAGTCAAAAATCATGGTTACCAAACGGGCTCTAATATCTGTTAAAATGTTCTTTAATTTCTTTTGGCTTCGATTGAAATTTCTAATCATTAGGAATGTTGAAATTGCGTGTAAAATGTAGGTGCAAATATTAGGTACATTTCATAGTAATATACGGAGTAGATAGAACCTCAATTCTAAATTGATTTGCAAATTTGATTTTTGTTATCAAACAGTTTAATTTTATTCGCTTAATTAGGATGTCAATTTTTAATAATATTCTAATTTGGAGTTTGCAACTTTGATTTTTTTTTAAATATGTAAATTTTAATTATTAAAAATTAAATTGATTATCGATAGAAAGAATTGACTTTTATTATTGATTGCCAAAAAAATATTGACTTTGCAAAACAATTTGGAACTGATGAAATACTTTCTACTTATATTGTAATGAAACACTTGCAAATTACTCCGTATTATTGAATCTTTATAAAGGCCGTTTTTAGATCACTCAGATAGTCAGATATTATTATTACCTTTTATAGATCCAAAATAAACACTTACAATTATTAACGTAGCATTGAATGTGTGTGTTACATATATAGATGTGTCCCGGCCTAGAATGTGATGGGGTTCACGAAGAATTATCAAATAAACTGTCGAACTTACATAAAAAGTGTAAATAAGTCTTTTTATATGAGGTTCTGTACGGTCTTCCTCATTTGAAGATTTTTCGATGAATTTTTTTAATGAAATTTTTTGAACATCTTATTAATTAAGTCTAGTTTACCCATACCAAATTTCAGCTAAAACTTCAACCGAGAAGACAGTCAAATGATTTTCTGAAATATACTGAGATGTTTAACGGCGCAGTTATCTTCAAAAAATCATTTGAGTGGCTTTCCGATTGAATGTTTAGCTGAAATTTTGTATGACTAAACTAGACTTAATGAATAAGATGTTCAAAAAATTTCATCAAAAAAATCCATCGAGAGCCACCCTAAATAGCGATGGCCGGACAAAGCTTTCTATAAAAGGACTTATTTGTACTTTTATATAAGTTCGAGAGCTCATTTGATAGTTCTCCTGGTTTATATATGAAAATGCAAAAACTCTTAAAAATTACTCCGTATTATTGAATCTTTGTAAAGGAGGTTTTTATAATTCTTTGGTTTTATGAAATACGCACTAAATACGGAGTATCATTTTTCAGTAAAGGTAAAGGAACCGGTGACTTAACTCAACTGGTAGCAAGAGAGTGCCACATGGGTTAGGACCCAGATTCGAATCCCGGCAACTGCGATGAGGTCCTAGTATGCTAAAAATGCATAGGACCTCTGCAAGTATCGGAGATAGAGTATCACTCTCAATCTGACAGATTGAGATTATAGTCCACTTTACCTACTCCAAGTGTCATCCTCTTTTTAGTAAAGGTAAAGGAACACAACTATGAATAAACGAGACTGCAGCAACCACTCATTATTAGTTTTCATATTGTGGGCCAGCTTTATTAATTTAATTGGAACATTTTGTGGTATTTACAAAAATATCCGCCAGGTAAAAGATTACGCGGGGGAGAATGGCATCAAGGTGGTGTGCACCGACACGGCGGCGGACGGCTGCCTGCACTTCTCGGAGCTGGCGGATGCGGAGGAAGATGGGATGCCGGAGGCGGGCGTGAAGCCGGACGACGTGGTGGCGCTGCCGTATTCCTCCGGGACGACGGGGCTCCCGAAAGGGGTGATGCTGACCCACAAGGGCCTGGTGACCAGCCTGGCGCAGCACGTGGAAGGGCAGAATCCTCACTTTTACCTGCGCGGCGAAGACGTGCTGCTCTGCGTTTTGCCCTTCTTCCACATCTACTCGATGTCCATATTTCTCTGCGGGTTGCGGGTCGGGGCCCGCATCTTGATAATGCAGAGGTTCGATATCGTGCCGTTCCTGGAGCTGATACAGAAGTATAAAGTGACGATTTGCCCCTTCGTACCGCCGATCGTATTGGCCATTGCGAAGAGCCCGGCGGTGGACAATTACGACCTTTCGTCGGTTCGGATTGTCATGTCCGGGGCGGCCCCGTTAGGTAAGGAGCTCCAAGACACCGTTAGAGACAAATTCCCTAACGCTACCTTTGCGCAGGTAAATTTTCTCTCATACCCCGTACCATATTTCTGTCTTACGCTCGCTCTTATTACGTCTTACCTACCAATTAACGTGTATAATACTCTCTCTACGACATCAAGTCATCAACTAATCGATTTCACTTTTATTTTATACTATTATAGAGAATTAATTATCAAAATAGGACTAAAAGTCATTCACTTCTCACAAATATGACCAAAAAATAAACTATGTTTACATAGGACTAATTATGTGTACCTTGGACAATTATACCCTTATAGCTATTAAAATGTTTTAATTCCTAATAAAATAATAAAAAATAATAAAAACTCAAAAAAAGAATCGCCGCCGCCTCTGCCGCCTCAGCACCACCACCTCCAGTCACCAGGGGAAAAAATGCCAAGTTCATTACGAATGCCATATTTATGGCAGAAAAAAATGAAAATGTTGGCATTCGAAAAGAGAAATATGCCATTTTTTTGGCATTTTCAGAAAAAAATGACATTTTTCTGGGAAAATGGCATTTTTTCATCGGCCGAAGGTGGTGGTGCTGGGAGGTAGTACAGGCGGTGGGAAAGGCATCCATATTTTTTTAAATTTTTTTACGGAGTTTTGCTATTTTTTATTAATTTTTTAAAAAATAAAATTATTTAAAAAAAAAAGTTTTTGAATTTTTTATTTTATAAAAATTTTATAAATTTTTTAATTATATTTCTACGAATTTTTGAAATTTTTTCGAATTTATTATGAATTAAACATTTAATTACGGTTTTTGACTATTTTTAATTCATATTTAATGAAAGGGTAAGAATGGAATGCAAAAATAGGTATGTTTCCAAAAGGACTCATATGATCCTATTTTGGAATAAAAACACAGCAAGTCCTATTTTAGGTTTTTTGTCATAGTTTTAATCCTATTTGAATTAATTTCTATATTATAGATCAGAAATACTCCTAAATCTTAGGGAGATTTACCAAATTGGGGTACCTAAATTTTGGAATTCTAAAATGTGAGTGATATGTTTTTCTTAAGTAACATGTTAGTTTTATTGTCATCTTCTAGTCCTTAATGTCAAATAGTTACATTACTAAACATTCAACATGACAATATTCACTATAATTAATGATTATATTCTTTTTAATCAAGGTAGTAACAATTAATCAACTATATTTGAGGCAAAAAAAAAAAATAAGGCTCCTACTTTTCAATCACATTTTTTGGAACAATTAATGTGCGGGTCTATCTACATTGATGAGATTGGGTATATATCTTCTCAATAAATGAATAAATAGGTAAGTGGGCGTATATTCATTCCGTCACAAACAGGAGTACAAGTTATAATAGTGCGATAAGCGTAATGTCCGGTTAGATGTTTGTCAATAAGTGAACCTAACGCGCTCTTATCAATGGGGCGCTGATGGGCAAACAGAAATATCGGTGTGCGGGGTAGTCATTCCGGACATACCCAATACTGTTTTGTTCCTTGTTAGGTACTACCTTCTTCCCGACCACGAATTAGTTGTTCTAATAGTAAAGTAATAAAGTTTTTTGGGACAAATATAAAAAGTAAGTTGACAAAGTCCAATGAGACGGAGAAAATAGTATATAAATATTAAATTTTCAATTAATATTAGTTAATATAAGGAAAAATTGACAAAAATAATCCCATCTTTCGTTAGTCTTCTCATAATAATCTCACCTTTAGGTAATCCCACAATAATCCCACCTTTGCACCCTATCTTCTTTCATTGGACCCTGACCAAGTTTTTTACCTTTCTTTGAAAATCTTATATAAATAATCTCACATTTATAAAGATATAATAGAAAAGTGAAAGGTAAGATTATTTATATGATTTTCAAAAAAAGAGTAAAAAACATGGTCAGGGTCCAATGAAAGAAGATAGGGTGCAAAGGTGGGATTATTGTGGGATTACCTAAAGGTGAGATTATTATGAGAAGACCAACGAAAGGTGGGATTATTTTTGTCAATTTTTCCTTATATTAACTAATATTAATTGAAAATTTATGAATTGACCGATTCTGTTGATTTATGAAAAAAAATATTTGAAATATATTTTACCAATAAAATAAAATAAAAATTACACGGAAAATAGCTAAAATGCTCCTCTACGATAACTTCGGTCAATAAATCAGAGAAGTAACTTCAACTTTACTTTTTCTTATTATTACATAATTCAATGGACGAAATAAAAAATTACATGTCACCAAACAACATGATAAATATTCCATATTTCTTCTTTTTCCTAATGATTTTTTTTTTGTCGAGAATTTGCAGTCTTTCTAACCATTTATTCAGTCAACTTTGGTGCAATTTTTTACGTTTTACTAGAATTTGCTGAAGATTAAATTAGTGTTTATTTTATTTTGATCGAAATATTAGTAAGCATGGTGATATGTGGATGGTAGGGATATGGAATGACAGAAGGAGGGTCAGTACTGGCGATGAGCTTAGCCTTCGCAAAAGAGCCTTTCCAGATCAAATCGGGGTCGGTTGGAACTGTGGTTCGGAACGCCGAGTTGAAGATTGTGGATCCGGAGATGGGATCCTCTTTGCCCCGGAATCAACCCGGAGAGATCTGTATCAGGGGTGACCAAATCATGAAAGGTACGGTACGACTCTCGCATTCTCCCTTTAGAAATGGAGAAAAACAGTTGTGATATTTTAATTTAAAAATATGGAATGATAAAAGTAGGTGGGCGAAGTAAAAGGAAAGTAGTGGACTCGTATTGTTAAACCTCACAAAGTGATTACAAGTGCAAGAAATGATAACGATGAATGGATAAATTATTGGTGCTTAAGCATTGACAAAACGTGGAAAGCTAGCTAGCACACAACCATTTCAACATGGGTGTGCTCCGTACAAAAATCAATAAACACTAGAGATCGCGCGCAATAGGTATGTGGTTGGCGGAGTGTGTCGTTCTAACCACTTTCCATATTTGAATTTAATTCTTCACAATGACCAGAATAACTCCTACTGCGCGCTGCAACGACACATTATATTATGACTAATCTTTTATTTGTACATACTAAAATGACTCAAGAGCTAGTAGGAGTACGTGTTTTATATGATAGTCTCACGAACCTCTAATCTGAGTTGGGCTTCTGTCGCGCACGGGTAAAAGGTCTACCACCATTAAGTCATCGTGATTTACAATGTCATTGAACTGAAACCGACCAAATCGAACCGACGAAACCGAAAATCGACCAAACCGATGTTAGAAGACTAATGTTCCAACAACCGAATCCACAAACACCGGCCTCTAATACCAACAACTTGATCGATATAGAGAGTAGTCCACTAGAATATGATGCTGACCCTACAACTTGATCCGTCTCTCCTGGCTTTATCTTTAATTGAATTGACATGGCAGCATTTATATATACCACGTCAACACCAAAGGATACCCAATTCACAAAAACTCTGATAATTTAGTTGACTTTATTGACTGCGTATAACATGTGTTCTTTTGGTACGGAATGTGTTTGTAACGTCAAGTATTTTTTGGAAGTTAATTTGCCGTCACGTTATATATCCATCATACTTATCAAACGTAAACATTCTATATGTTTATTCATATGTACGTACCAGCCCGGCCATTCATGTATGTATGGATATGTATGTATCAAAATTATAATAAGAAAAGGACTCCTACGTACTAATTAATTAATCGTACTTAAAAATTTATAACGAATACGTAGTATTTTTCTAGATTTGCAAGTGTTTCTCAAATAATTAAAAAGCTAGCTAGATTATGCAAGCGTCCTATTTCCTAATACGGATCGGAGGACATTATATTCACTACAAAAAAATTACGGGATTGACACGGACTTACGTATTTTTCGTGCCAAATAGCTCGTGACAAAGTGTTTTTCGCACGGATTTGACATTTCCTTGCTAAAATCCCTTCCAAATCCATGCCAAAATCTCTGCCAAAATCCCTGTAAATCCTCGTGGTTTTTTTGTAGTGATTGTAGTGAATAATTGAATCAATTATATATGTGTATATTGTGATGGCATGCCATATATGCTTAAGTGACCCGTTGTGATCGCGAAAAGATTTTCTCTCATATATAAATTCGTTTTTTTTGTGTTTTGAAGTTGTATACCGGTCCTCAATTGATTTATACTCCCTCCGTCCCAAAATTATTGTTCCGCTTTCCTTTTCGGTCCATCCCGAAATAATTGTCCCGTTTCTAAAACATCCTTATTTGGTAAACAAATTTATGCCAAACAGTGTCAAACAGTACAAAACAGCGCAAAACAGTGTCGCTACAGTGCCAAACAGTGTCGCTACAGTGCCATTTTCTTAATCTGTGTGAAAAACCAAATGGGACAATAATTTTTGGACAGAGGGAGTATTTATATGGTAGATTCTATGGTACCCTTAAGGTATCATACCTTTGTCCAAATGGACGAATAGGAATCATGCAGTTGAATTAATTAAATCTAAATTAAAAGGAATAGAATGATTTGGACCAATCAAAAGCATGGTAGGTACGGTACCTCAATTTTTAAAAGGTACCGGAGTTGTCACCTATTTATATTTATATTTATGAACTGGCGCTGGCAGGTTATTTGAATCAACCAGAGGCCACTAAAAGCACGATTGACGGTGAAGGATGGCTGCATACGGGAGATATAGGGTACATCGATGAGGACGACGAGTTGTTCATTGTGGACCGACTGAAGGAGCTGATCAAATACAAGGGCTTCCAGGTTGCCCCGGCTGAACTTGAAGCCTTACTCCTTAACCATCCCCTACTCTCTGATGCTGCAGTCATTCCGTAAGTCTCCCTTAGCTTTTTCAATGAAATATACATACGTACGTACTCCAAAAGTGTGTAAGCGTACGTGAATGGTATATATATATTTACGCTACGCAGCATGAAAGATGAAGAGGCAGGAGAAGTCCCAGTTGCTTTTGTTGTTAAGTCCAATGGATGCACCATCACGGAGGATGAAGTTAAAGACTTCGTCTCCAAACAGGTCCGTTTTAATTGATTTTTTAAAACGAATCGTCTCCGTACACGTGCAAAATAATTTCTTAAAGACTTCCTCTCCAAATTAATTATAAAGAGCTAAGCTAAGCTAGGTACCCTTCCCTTCCCTACCCTAATGTTTATTTTTGTGTGCAGGTTATATTTTACAAAAGAATAAAGAGAGTATTTTTTGTGGATGCTGTTCCCAAGTCTCCCTCGGGGAAAATTCTAAGAAAGAACCTGAGGGCAAGACTAGAAGCCGGAGTGCCCAATTAATTCTAGCTCCGATCTACATCCATGCCACTGGATGGGAGCCTTTTGAGTTTTTTCCTTACACTTCGATATTCTACTATTGTAAAATAATAATTGCAATTATTGTTAATAATGGTATCAAGAGTACTTTCTTATAAGTTTGATTGTTTTTATGTCCACATTGAATTGTATACAAGTCATACTTCTACAAAAAATATAATAACTGTACGTAATATCAATGGAAAAGTCGGCTGTCTTTCGCAATTTGCACATAAAAAATTTGCACGTGACCAAATGATTACACCCAAGTTTGGGAAATTAGAAATTGCCCATAGTAAATATGAGTAAAATTTAAAACTTCTTTCAATAGGAGTAAACATTAATTTTGTACCCTTAATATCCCTAACCCAGTTAATTCTAAAATATGACTTATTTAATCCTAACCTTGTTAATTTATGACTTATTTGATAATAATAATTTATTTATTTATTTATTTTTCAAAAAATAAAAAATATATAATTTTTTTTAAAAAAATAAAAAACTCAAAAAAATAAAATAAAATTCACCGCCGCCTCATCACCACCACCTCCAGTCACCGGGAGAAAAAAATGCCAAATTCATTACGAATGTCATATTTATGGCAGAAAACAATGAAAATGCTGGCATTCGCAATGAGAAACATGTCATATTTTTGGCATTTTCAAAAAAAGCCAGTTTTTAGGAAAAATGGAATTTTTTCACCGCCCGGAGGTGGTGGTGCAGGGAGGTAGTACAAGCGGTGGGAAAGGCATCCATATTTTTTTAATTTTTGTTATGGAGTTTTACTATTTTTTATTAATTTTTTAAAAAAATAAAAAAATTAAAAAATATTTTTTAAATTTTTTTTATTTTATTAATATTTTATAAATGTTTTAATTATTTTTCTACGATTCTTTGAATTTTGTTCGAATTTATTATGAATTAAACATTTAATTAAAAATTGTTTGGGTTTGGGTAGGAGTATACTTGTCCAAACACTAAAGTTACTCGTATTCAAAACATGGTACTCTTATTTTTGCATTTTGCTTATGTTTTGCTCCTATTTGGGGAATTCTCTCTTGGGAAATTCATCAATCTACATCTAAAATATAAATAGAATATGTGGTTGGATGTACTCCTTTCATCCCTATATTATCTTCAAACTTTCTTCTTTCGTCTGTTTCAAATTTTTCCCATTTTTCTCTTTTTGGCAAAAAAATTGTGGTCCACAACAATTCTTGCATATTTCTCTTTCCTGTGCAGAACTTTCCACTACACAATTCTCACTATCTTAATTTGTGTGGCCAGTCAAATTCAAATGAGGAGTTTTTATAGGGATAGAGGAGTATAATTTATGAGTCGTATTTGGTGTACACTATTTTATAAGTGTGAATAATATCACCCGCGAATACAATTTTTTTATAAGTTTTTGATTAATTTATACAAGAGTGCTACACAAATATGGACCTTGTCATAAAAACAAAAGGAAGGAAAGAATACAGAATATGAATGCTTCCATATATAGGAGTACAAGATTTATATAAATGCTATTTCCTAACAATAAAAAAGTACCTTATAACAATAAAAAAGTACATTACATAATTAAATCAAACAGTTTAAACTCTATATCATTTTAATTATATCCGAATATTTCCAAAAAAATTATATCCAAATATATGTTAGCAAACGTGATCATATACTATGGTCAATGTACCTATCTATGTTCACATGCGGCCCATGATTCCACTGTCGGCTTTCACACACACCTTCATGGCTGAAGGACAATAGCCACCTACGAATGCAGCTCCACAGCTAACCAACAAAATGACCTGTCGTAATTTGGGGGAGAAACTTTATGTGTCGTCAGGGGAGAGATTATAATGCTTGAAGAAACAAAACTTAACACATTAGCTTAGGGTCGTGGGTAAGTTTGATTTTTTTTTTACTACTATACTATACGACGTGAAGGGACGCAATGGTTATGTTTGGATGACTAATTCAACTCAAAATGAGCTCGAATATGATAATTGTAGATGATTAATTGACGTATAGCCTCCTTTGGATGAAGACGTAACATTGATTATATTGGACCTAAATATATTTAATCAATTGATTTGAGACATTAATAATTTACTGTCATCTTATGTCGACTTTTACCCGTTATTTAAATTTTACCTTTGTTTATATTAAAAAAATATATTTTATCACTATTTCACATTTTTAAGTTTTTATTTGTGTTGTGTTGACAAACAAATCTAGTTCATTTAATTGGCATTTAAGTTTCACCAACTTCTATCTAGTTCGATGCTCTCTAAATCAGACAATAGATTCCGGATTCAACTCGTTTTGCCAAATTATGGTCCAACAATTCTAACACGCTACCATTAGCTAGTTTTTCCGCTTAACAAATTTTTATATGGAGTATTTGTATTATGAAGTATTTTTTGTCTTAGAGTATACTAGTATTATTTTTTGTGTGCAAGAAATAATAATAATAATAATAATAACACCAACACCACCAACAACAACAATAACAACAACACCTAACACAAACATTGCTGCCATCACAAAAGGATAATGACGACAATAGAATATGCCGTGGAATTTTTTAAATTTAAATCATACTTTTTAATGGCAATTAAAAGGAAGTTTTCCTTATATTGTGACTTAGTAACTCTTACTGATTATACTTGAATTGTATTCAAAGTTTACATCGTGGTGACTTCCATGCAATTACCATGATGTAAACTCGAACACAATTAAAGTCACTAATAATTATTAGGTTACATTATTGTTGTCCACCACTTTTTGGGAGTAAACTAGCGAAATTTTCTCATTTTTATAATTCATTTACATGTGAATGAAAAATCAAGAAGAGGAACATAATAAAAAGGTTAAAGAGATGCCTTATGTGTCATATAGGCTATGTTTATGTTGACATCCCACCATCACAAAATGTTTTAGAGAAAATTTTCGAAATAAAAACAAGAAGAAATTTGAAATTTCAAAATAGAAATACTATATTTTTGTTCAATAAATAGGAGTCATTACTGTCAAACTTAGAAAATACTGTCATGTTTGAAATCTGACGATGTCAAAATATAACAACTATGTTGCACGGGAACATAAAAATCCGAAGAAACGTGAAACGAAAAATGTCAACTTTTGTTCAAAAAATGCTTGTTTGGAGAATTTTCAAAGAGCCGAGTTTCCGTAGAGTTTATGAAACCTAAACGTACACTTTCCCGAGAATTTCCGTGCTTTATAGTATAACAGTAGTATATAGTAGTCATATTAATTTTGAAATTGCAGACATTTTTATTTTTTTAGAACATTTTTTTAATTTAATCAATTCCGTCACTACAAAATGTGTGTTGACGGTGATATCAGGACAAAAAAAACACGGGATAAACACGGAATTTGGTACGGATTTACCGATTTTTCGTGCCAAATAGCTCTTGTCAAAGTGTTTTTGGCACGGATTTGGCATATCCCTGCCAAAATCTCTGCCAAAATTCCTGTCAATCTCATGTTTTTTTATTGTGTCTATTAACCAGGCCCGGCCCAGGCCAAGTGCCACCTGTGCGATCGCACAGGGCCCGAAAATCTTGAAGGCTCAATTTTTTTGTAGTCCTTCTAACTAATTAGAGCCCAATGAGTAAAATCTCACTATTTAAATAAAAAGTTTTGAGCCAGGGGAATCGAACCCTTGCCAACCTTCTCACACACGCCGGCGGCGAACCAGCTCAACCAAATTGGTTGATGTTAACACTCTTTCAATTTTTGTTTTTGTACCAAAGAATTATTGATATAACTCATAAGATTTTAAGCCCAATACCATCAACTACAATTATTGAAATTAATATGTAATCAAAGCAATGACTATTTTTTGTATTCTATGCCATTATTAAATTAATAACCAATTAGATATTTATGAAATATTCATTAGATTTATCAACTATATTTATAATTTTTTATATAAATATTACTTTGACAAATTATCCATTCAATTCCAAACACATCTTACATTTATGAATTCTATTTTAGATAGTGATACATTAATTTTTAATTTAATATTATAAGCATTATTAAATTTTAAATAAGAGTTATTTTAGGAAAATGCCACATTTGTTTTTTGCACAGGGTCCATATTTTCTTAGGATCGGCCCTGCTATTAACTTTGGGAAATGCGAAAGTGACATGCATATTGAGAAAATTAGAATTGTATAATTAATATTGGAATAGTAGAATAACAAATACTAGAGTTTTTTTCCGAATTAATGCTAATTAATTAATTAATTACGAAAATAATGTTGGATTAAAAGTATTTACGGATCTACTGCTAGGTTTAACCGTGGTCAGGGAAAGTCGCCCAACGGTTGGGCGACTTTCCATTAAGTAAAAATAGCGCCCAACCACAAAACAGAACACTGCGAATGAAACCCAACCCCCAAATCCCCCAAGCAGCAGCTACGAAAGACGAAGGACGAAGGACGACCGAGCCATTTCCATCTCCGGTGAACTTCCATATCCGGCGACCCCACTCCGGCAAACCTCCATCTTCAACACTCTTTCTTCTTTCTTGTAGGTAAATCAAACTCCATTTCATCTCATTTTTAACTTAGGGTTTTGAATGTTAAATTTTTGGAATTTTTAGATTATGAAATGTTCAAATTTGATTTGAAATTGATTTTGACATGTATATATTTTGACATTTGGGCATTTGGGTGGATTTGAATGTAGCTAAATTTGGGTATTCAAATGTAGACTTGAATGTAGAATCAAAATTTGGGTATTTTCATATTGAAATGTGAGTTGTTTGTGAATCTTGACTTTTGGATATATTTGAATTGTTATTAGAATATGGATTTCTCAAGCTTCCCAATTGTGTGTCATTGGGGAGGGAACTATTATGAGGATGCTGGTCAAATATGCCATGAAGGTGGTACAACCACATTTGTCATGATTTGTCGTGGTGCTTGCATGCTCGAGATCCTTCAAAAAATACATACAACCACAATGATTCATCCTAGCCGTTCTTTGCGTTTGAAAATGAAATTTCCCATGAACGGGGGAAAGTACATGCTTATGCCCCTCACTGATGAACTAGCTATAACAAATATGTGGGCCATAGTTCAGA